TCACAGTATGTCTGATAAGATTTTTTCTTCTAGAGAAAGTCGTATTTGTTTTATTTTGGCTAGAATAAAAGCAGTTTTTATTTAAAAAAAACAAAAAACAAAAAAAACATTTTAAGGTCAAAATTATTATCTCCTTTAAGCTATATTTTTTTCCATAGTCTACTGAACAAACCATCGTTATACAATAACTTGCCTAATTACCCTAACCTGACTAGTTAACCTAATTAGCCCAGTTAAGCCTTTAAATGTCATTTTAAGCTGTATAGAAGTGTCTTGAAGAATATCTAGTCAAATATGATTTACTGTCATCATGACGAAGATAAAATACATCAGTTATTAGAGATGAGTTATTAAAACTATTATGATTAGAAATGTGCTGAAGAAATCTGCTCTCCGTTAAACAAAAATTGGGGAAAAAAATAAACAGGGGGTCTAATAATTCTAACTGTAAATATGATTTGATTATATGGTTTGGAATTTGATGTTTTATGAAATTATTGAAATTTTTGTGATTATTTTGCGTTTAGTTAAGAATTTTGCAGGATTGCAAAAATGGGTGATTTTTTTTTGTTGATTTTGCGATGGATTCAGCAATAGCAGAATGACAACAAACTAGGGGTTCAGATAAAAGGCTTATTTTAAAGATTAATTAAATTTTTAATGAATTAAAGAATAATTAAAGATTAATTAGGTTAATTAGTAAGACATTGTATAACGATGGTTTGTTCTGTATACAAAGCTGAACACAAAGCTAAAGGGGGCTAATAATATTGACCCTAAAATGGTTTTAAAAAAATTAAGAACTGCTTTTATTCTAGCTGAAATAATATAAACAAGACTTTCTCCAGAAGAAAAAATCTTATCAGACATACTGTGAAAATTTCCTTGCTCTGTTAAACATAGTTTGGGAAATATTTAAAAAAAGAAAAAAAAAATCAAAGAGGGGCTAATAATTCTGACTTCAACTATATATATAAATATATATATATATATATATATATATATATATATATATATATATATATATACATACATACTATATATATATATTTTACTGTTTATATAGTCACATAAAACAGTAAAAGATACACAGAGGACAGAAGGCAATAAAGTTCTATGTAACTGGTTTTAGTCGTGTAAATGTTTTCATTGCATTTCCATGTTTAATGCGCTTTATTCCAGGCCATTGCATTGGCAATATAAGAGTGAGATTAAACCAATTTGTTTAGATTTTTTTTTTCCTTCTGTGAAACTTTTCCATTAACATCCAATACACAGAGTGAATTAATATCTATTTAAAGATGTCGGACAAACAATTTGAGTAACTCATAAATCTAATCACATCAGGGATCAGTGAGCCTGAAGTCTTTCATTTGCATTAACGTTATGGAGCAGAAGCCTGACTCTGACTGCTGCTGTACAATTAAAAATGAAACTATTTAAGCTGCTGTACAGTTTATATTTTATTAAGGAAAAAGTTGAGTCCATTTAAAAATGTATGATTTATAAAACATTGCAGAGAGATCGACTGTACTGCCAGTGTTAAATAAGACAGATTGCATTTAACTGACTTTTCAATTAAAGCTGAATTACTGCTAAATAAATACATGCAATGGATTTTGTGTTTAAATTCATAAAACAATGTGTTTAATAACAATTGAATATAAATTAATATAGTTTGACAACTAATACAGATATAAAGTAAGTTTCATCATTACACCAGGCGGTGGAGACTTTTATAACTGTATTAGAATTGAATCATTGACTCGATAGATTGTTCAAAACACTGAATCATTTAAGGCAAGGCAAGGCAAGTTTATTTATATAGCACATTTCATACACAGTGGCAATTCAAAGTGCTTTACATAAACAAGAATAAAAGAAACAAGTAAAATAAAAATAAAAACAAATAATAAAACGGATTAAAAAACATAAAACAGGTAAAATGTGAAATAAAAGAATGAAGAAGAGGAGAAAAACTGGCGCAATCTGTCGGGCTAAACAGATGTGTTTTCAGTCTTGATTTGAATGTGCCTAATGTTGGAGCACATCTGATCATTTCTGGAAGCTGATTCCAGCAGCGAGGGGCATAGTGGCTGAAAGCTGATTCACCCTGCTTTGACTGAACTCTTGGAACTTCTAGTTTATATGATCCTAATGATCTGAGTGATCTGTTGGGTTTGTATTCAGTGAGCATATCTGTAATGTATTTAGGTCCTAGGCCATTTAGTGATTTATAGACCAGTAATAATACTTTAAAATCTATTCTGAATGTAACTGGCAGCCAGTGTAAAGACCTGAGGACAGGTGTGATGTGCTCTGATTTTCTGGTTCTGGTCAGAATCCTGGCCGCAGTGTTCTGGATGAGCTGCAACTGTCTAACGGTCTTTTTGGGAAGGCCAGTGAGGAGTCCATTACAGTAATCCACCCTGCTGCTGATAAAAGCATGAACAAGTTTCTCTAAATCTTCACTGGAAACAAAGCATCTGATTCTTGCTATGTTTTTGAGATGATAGTATGCTGATTTACTGACTGCTTTGACATGACTGTTGAAACTCAGATCTGACTCCAGAGTCACACCAAGATTCTTGACCTTATTTTTTGTTGTTTGACCTTTAGAGCCAAGGTACGCATTTACCTTGAGAACCTCATCTCTGTTCCAAAACACAATCATTTCAGTTTTCTCTTTGTTTACCTGAAGAAAATTTTGGCATTTTTATCAAGAAAACAAGTCAGTGACACTATTGATTAACCAATTATTTAAAACAACCAAGTATTCAGTATTGACAAGTGAGTGAGTGAACTACTGAATCCTTCATTCACAAATGTTAACAAAACTCTGAACATTCATTCAAGTGAGTTACTGACTCAATCACTGAAACAAATATAGCAAAATATTAGGTGCGTTCTTAAAGCGATGAATACCGGTTAGAAATTTAGTCCGGATTGATTGCCGACGCCATGTGACTATCCAACCTGATCTCAAACATAAGCATTTTACGTTTTGTCAGTTTAGAGGCTAATTCGTACGAGTTCAGTCGTACAAAAATGTACGATTTTAAAAAGGAGGTGTGGCACCTAACCCCACCCCTAACCCCAACCGTCATTGGGTGATGAGCAAATCGTACTATACTGTACGAATTACATCGTACAAATTCATACGAATTAGCCACTAAATCAAAAAGTTACGAATTGCCGTGAGATTGCGTTGGACTGTCACATGTGATATCAATGTACGGCAACAGCGCTCCGAGATCAGACGACTGATTTAGCCAGTGCAGCAGCTTTGATATTTTTAGTATTATTTATTATATACATATTAAAATTTGTTTTTATTAAAAATAAGCTTAAAGAGGCTAATAATGTTGTTCCTAAATGGTGTTAAAAATTAAAAACTGCTTTTATTCTAGCCAAATTAAAACAAACAAAACTTTCGCCAGAAGAAATTATATTATCTAACATACTGTGAAAATGTCCTTGCTCTTATTCATTCATTCATTTTCTTGTCGGCTTAGTCCCTTTATTAATCTGGAGTCGCCACAGCGGAATGAACCGCCAATTTATCCAGCAAGTTTTACGCAGCGGATGCCCTTCCAGCCGCAACCCATCTCTGGGAAACATACACACACACACACTCGTACACTACGGACAATTTAGCCTATACCCAATTCACCTGTACCACATGTCTTTGGACTGTGAGGGAAACCGGAGCACCCGGAGGAAACCCACGCGAAGGCAGGGAGAACATGCAAACTCCACACAGAAACTCTGAACTCTCTTTCAGAGACACTTCCTTTTTATACCACAGTTGTTTACTATAACTTCCTCTTTTTTGCCTTCCATGCATCTTCTCTTAACAGACGACCTTTTAAGGCAAATGTCTCCTCATAGCACACACACGGCTCTTACACAGCTCATACATCCTGTCCTATCTCAGAACTCTCTGCCCTTTCTACGCACCCTTGCGACACTTCTCTATTTTGTGCATGCGATTTGCAGCACTTAGCAGTTTGCATGGAAAACATGTAAAAATTTTATTTCAACTAAAAAACACCACAGCCACTGCCTCGCCCCGTCCTTGCTCTTTTAAACATAATTTGGAAAATATTAAAAAAATGTAAAAAAAATTAAAGGGGGGCTAATAATTCTGACTTCAACTGCATATTGATATTGAATTATTGTCCAGTCCTAGGTCAAAGTAAAGCAGTAATAAGTAGACTGATTACTTTTCAGGAAGTAATTAGTGATGTAATTAAATGACTATTTTTCAGTAGGAATCAGTAATCTGAATCTATTGCTTTTTTAAAGTAACTTACCCAACACTGACAGATCGCTGCCCGCCTGACTTCTAAAGAGAGCTTTCTCTTTTCTTTTATTTACTAGTTAAAGAGAAAAAACACATCATCAAAGAGTCTGTCAAAAACACATTTACAGAAATGCGATTCACGCACACTCAGATGTGTTTGTCAATGGCAGCGGTACTGTATATCCACAGGGAGCAGAGAATGCTGGGTAGGAGACTGTGGCGGGTGTCTGAGGGCGGGTTTGTGTCAGTTTTCAGGTCTCTCTCTCCCACACACACACACACACGCAGCTTGACAGACTGGAGGAGTATTAAAAGCACAGAAACGCAGGAGCGACGGAGAGCCTCCCCCTCATAAAGTCGCTGTCATAAACGCTTCTCGTCGCCAGGCGTTGTGTGGCGGTCCGGAGACGGTTGCCAGGCAACCCCGCGCTGCATTGATATGCGAGTTGGAGGGAATCAGGGGAAGCCTTCGCCTCTTCGGGATACAATCCTCTCTCTGATAACACTCGCTCAGGGCTTCACATCGCATTCAGCACTGCGAGGCAGAACATGTCCTAGTTTTCATCTCACAGATGTGCAGATTGAGGACTCTTTCAACACCTGAAGTTTTACACGAGCGCTTCTTTTTGTTGTTCGGTAAATCTTCGAAAGTGCTTTCAGGAATTTTGAGGAAGATTTCTTAATATGAATTTCTCAAGGAGTCGCGTGGATTGCGCAGAAGCAAAAACAGGAGAGAAAGCTGGTAGGTTTTGCTGAGAGTCACTTAATATTTCAACAGAATGTTGGATCTTCAAAATCTTTAGACTGAGAATCCTCAAAGACTGTGATGGAAAGAAAAGTGTTTTCCGTAAGGAGGCACATGGATTCAGCAGAAACTAAATAAACAAACAGAAACAGAAGAGAAACCTGTTCATTTTGTTTGTTTGTTTGTTTTAAGAGTGAATTTATATTTTGAAGTTTTAAATGAGCTCCTTTTTTGTTCTTCTGTAAATCTTCAACAAAAAAAGTGCTTTCAGGAATTTTGAGGAAGATTTCTTAACATGGATTTCTCAATGAGTCTCGTGGATTGAGCAGAGGCAAAAACAGAAGAGAAAGCTGGGAGGTTTTGCTGAGAGTGGCTTTATATTTCAAAAGAATTTTGGATCTTCAGAATCTTTAAACTGAGAATCTTCCAAGACTGTGATGGAAAGAAAAGCGTTGTCCTCAAAGAGTCGCAAGCATTGATTAGAAACAAAATAAACTGAATCAGAAACAGAGGAGGAAGCTGTTCATTTTTTTTTGTTTGTTTTTTGTTTTGAGAGTGACTTTATATTCTGAAGTTTTAAATCAGCTCCTTTTTTGTTCAGTAAATCTTCAAAAGTGCTTTCAGGATTTTTAAGAACAATTTCTTAATATGGATTTCTCAAGGAGCCGCTTGGACTGAGCAGAAAAATAAACAGGTACAGAAAAGATAACTGTCCATTTTATTTTTATTATTTGAATTTATTTATTTATTTATTTATTGAGAGTGATTTTACGTTCTGAATTTTTAAATGAGCTCCTTTTTTGTTCTTCTGTAAATCTTCAAAAGTGCTTTCAGGATATTTGAGAAAGATTTCTTAGTATGGATTTCTGAACGAGTCTTGTGGATTGAACAGAAGCAAAAACAGAAGAGAAAGCTGGGAGGTTTTGCTGAAAGTGGTTTTATGTTCCAAAAAATTTGGGGATCTTCAGAATCTTTAAACTGAGAATCTTCCAAGACTGTGATGGAAAGAAAAGCGTTGTCCTCAAAGAGTCGCAAGCATTGAGCAGAAACAAAATAAACTGAATCAGAAACAGAGGAGGAAGCTGTTCATTTTTTTTTTGTTTTTTTGTTTTGAGATTTACTTTATATTCTGAAGTTTTAAATGAGCTCCTTGTTTGTTGTTCAATAAATCTTCAAAAGTGCTTTCAGGAATTTTAAGAACGATTTCTTAATTTGAATTCCTCAAGGAGCCGCTTGGACTGAGCAGGAGCAAAAAAATAAAAAAAAACAGGTACAAAAAAGATAACTGTCCGTTTTATTTTTATTATTATAATTTATTTATTTATTTATTCATTTATTGAGAGTGACTATATTCTGAAGTTTTAAATGAGTTCCTTTTTTGTTGCTCAATAAATCTCTAAAAGTCCTTTTAGGAATTTTGAGGAAGATTTCTTAGTATTTATTTCTCAACGAGTCTTGTGGATTGAGCAGAAGCAAAAACAGAAGAGAAAGCTGGGACGTTTTGCTGAGAGTGGCTTTATATTTCAAAAGAATTTTGGATCTTCAGAATCTTTAAACTGAGAATCCTCGAAGACTGTGATGGAAAGAAAAGCGTTGTCCTCAAAGAGTCGCAAGCATTGAGCTGAAACAAAATAAACTGAATCAGAAAAAGAAGAAAGCTGCTCATTTTGTTTTTTGAGAGTGACTTTTTATTCTGAAGTTTTAAATGAGCTCCGTTTTTGTTGTTCAATAAATCTTCAAAAGTGCTTTTAGAATATTTGAGGACGATTTCTTAATACAGATTTCTCAAGGAGTCTCGTGGATTGAGCAGAAACAAAAACAGAAGAGAAAGCTCTCAGTTTTTTTGAGAGTGACTTAATATTTCAACAGAATGTTGGATCTTTAGAATCCTCAAAGACTATGATGAAAAGCATTGTTCTCAAAGAATCACATGCATTAAGAAACAAAATAAACAGAAACAGAGGAGAACGCTGTTCATTTGTTTGTTTGTTTTGAAAGTGACTTCATAATCTGAAGTGTTTCGAGAATTTTGAGGAAGATTTCCTAATAGCAATTTCTCTGAAAGCTCGCGTGGATTGAGCAGAAGCAAAAACAGAAGAGAAAGCTGTTCATTTTGGGGGCTTTATTTTGAGAGTGACTTTATATCTGAACATAATTTTGGATCTTCAGAATCTTTGGACTGAGAATCCTGAAAGACAAATGGAAAGAGCAGTGTTTTCCTCGAGGAGTCGCATGCATTGAGCAGAAACAGAAACAGAAGAGAAAGCTGATTTTTTTTTTTGTTTGTTTGTTTTGAAAGTGACTTTATATTCTGAAGTTTTAAATGAGCTCCATGTTTGTTTAGTAAATATTCAAAGGTATTTCAGGAATTTTGATGAAGATTTCTCAAGGCATGGATTGAGCAGAAGAAAAAACAGAAGAGAAAGCTGGTCATTTTTTTGAGAGTGGCTTTATATCTCATAACATAATTTGGGATTCTCAGACTCTAGGAACTGTCGAAACCTCACAGACTGTGATGGAAGAAAAGTGTTTTTTTTTCTTAAGGAGTCACATGCATTGAGCAGAAACAAAAAATAAACAGAAACAGAGGAGAACGCTGTTCATTTGTTTGTTTGTTTTGAAAGTGACTTCATAATCTTTAAAAGATTTCCTAATACGCATTTCTCCAGAAGCTCACGTGGATTGAGCCAAAGCAAAAACAGAAGAGAAAGCTGTTCATTTTGGGGTTGTTGGTTTATTAAGAGTGACTTCATATATCAACAGAATTTTGGATCTTTAGAATCGTTAGACTGAAAATCCTGAAAGACAGATGGAAAGAGAAGGGTTTTCTTCAAGGAGTTGCATTCATTGAGCAGTAACCGAAACAGAAGAGAAAGCTCTTAATTTTTTTGTTTGTTTGTTTTGAGGGTGGCTTTATATTCTGAAGTTTTAAATGAGCTCCTTTTTTGTTGATCAATAAATCTTCAAAAGTGCTTTCAGAAATTTTGATGAAGATTTCTTAATATGGATTTTCCAAGGAGTCGTGTTGACTGAGCCGAAAGAAAAAAAACAGGTACAGAAGAGATAACTGTTTTATTTATTTATTTATTTATTTATTTATTTATTTACTTACTTATTTATTTATTGAGAGTAACTTTATATTCTTGATATTCTTTAAATGAGCTCCTTTTTTGTTGTTCAGTAAATCTTCAATGTGCTTTTAAGAACTGATGAAGATTTCCTATTACAGATTTCTCAAGTGGCTCACGTGGATTGAGCAGAAACAAAAGAGAAAGCTGTTCATTTTTATTATCTGAGAGTGAATTTATATCTCAAAACCGAATTTTAGCTTTTCTATAGACTGAGAATATTTATACCGACTCCTTTAACGACTGATGGAAAATGTTCAAAAGTTAATTTTGAGGACGATTTCCTAATTCGCATTTCTCCAGACCCTCAAATGGATTGAGCAGAGACAAAAACAGAAGAAAAGCTTGTTCGTTTTGTTGAGAGTGACTTTATATCTAAACAGATTGTTGGATCTTCAGAATCTTTAGACTGAGAATCCTTGAAGACTGTGATGGAAAGAAAAGCATTTTGCTGGAGGAGGCACATGGATTGAAGAGAAACAAAAGAAACAAGCTGTTCATTTATTTTTTTTTACTTTATATTCTGAAGTTTTAAATGAGCTCCCTAATTGTTGTTTAATAAATCTTCAAAAGTGCTTTCAGGGATTGATCAAGATTTCTTAATACAAACTTCTCAAGAAGCTCACAAGGATTGAGCAGAAACAAAAACAGAAGAGGAATCTGTTTGCTTTGGGGAATTTTATTTTTGAGAGTGACTTTATGTCTCATAACAGAATTCTTAATATGAATTTCTCAAGGAGTCGCATGGATTGAGCAGAAGTAAAAACGGAAGGGAAAGCTGGTAGTTTTTTAAGAGTGGCTTGATATCTCAACACAATTGTTAATCTTCAGAATCTTTAAACTGAGAATCCTCGAAGACTGTGATGGAAAGAAAAGCGTTTTCCTCAAGGAGTCGCACGCATTGAGCAGAAACAAAAGAGAGAGCTGTTCATTTTAAAATAAGTTCCCTTCTTGTTGTTCTGTAAATCTTCAAATGTGCTTTTAAGAATTTTGATGAAGATGAATAAATGTGGATTTCTCAATGAGTCGCGTGGATTGAGCAGAAGCAAAAACAGAAGAGAAAGCTGTTGGGTTTTATAAGAGTGACTTTATATCTCATGACTGAAGTTTGCCTTTTTTTTTGTAGACTGAAAGTCTTCAGACTGAATCCTCATTGACTGATTGACAATTTTCAAAAGTGCTTCTGGAATTTTGAGGAATATTTCCAAATGTGCATTTCTCAATAAGCTCACATGGATTGAGCAGAAACAAAAGCAGAATATAAAGCTGTTATTTTTGTGTGAGTTTGATTATTTGAGAGTGGCTTTATATCTCATATACAGAATGTTGGACCTTAGAATCTTTAGACTGAGAATTCTCAAAAACTGTGATGGAAAGAAACGTGTTGTCCTCAAGAAATTGTATAGATTGAGCAGAAACAAAACAGAAACAAGAGAAAGCTACTCATTTTTTAAATGATTTCAGAGTGACTATTTCATAACATAATGTTGTCTTTTTTTCAGACTGAGATGGAAAAAAAGATTGTTTTAATTTTTACGAATGAAGCTCTGGCTAATTAAATTAACCCGCCGTTTCCTCATCTGTTTATATCTGGCTCGTGAAAAGCGGAGGAGAGAGGAGCTCATGACGGCTCGTGAACACGTGAGATGAAACTGGGCAGGAAAACACTGGAGACTCAACGTAGGAACGCGCAGCCTGTCTCCGTGATTCGGGATCTCCCTGAAAGCTGAAGGATGATGGGAACGGACTGTCTGAGTGTTCAGGGATGTCTGCGCGTCTCAGAAAGACCAGCATGTCTGATGCGAAGTTTCTCCTGATGCTGTGCAAGGTAAGATCCTTCCCGTCTGCTAGGATCCAGAGGTGTTTGACCGAGTGCAAAAGAAGGAATGAGTTTAACGTTCATCCAGAGAACTTTTGAGAAGTCTATGTATTTCAGGCATGCATTCAAATACTGTTAAAAAGGAGTGAATTTAATAAGCAAAAGTGATATTACAGAAAGAGGTTATTTAAATGTATTTACTCAAGTCTGTACATTGAAAAAAATACTTTTCTAGCTTAGATTTTTTTGCCTTGTTTCTATTTCAAATATCTATATAATAATAATAATTAATATTATTATTATTATTAATTATCTTTTGTTTCCATTGAAGAAAGAAGGTTATACACTGCAAAAAAACAACAACAACAACTTGTCTTTACTTCTAGTTTTTTGTCCACATACATAAAAATTCTTAAATTAAGAAGCATTTTCTAGACAAGAAAAAATCCTGTCTTGTTTTCATAAATAATATGTTTTGCTTTAAAACAAGCACAATAATCTGCCAATGAAGTAAAATTAATGTATGTCTAAATAAAAACAAGATTCATGGGGAAAACTCACTTAATTTTGTCTGATAATTTTTGAAAACAAGACTATCTTAGTTGCTTGTCTAGAAAATGCTTCTTAATGTAAGAATTTTTTATATATGTGGACAAAAAACTAGAAGTAAAGACAAGGTTTTTTTTTTTTTTTTTGCAGTGTATAACCTTCTTTCTTCAATGAAACAAAAGATAATTAATAATAATAATAATAATAGTATTAATAGTATCAGCAATGCATGTTATTTATAATGAGATTTTCCTAAACCTAAAGTGCAAAAGTAAGTTTCGTGCTCATTGAGAGAAATTGAAATGTATTTCATGCATGTGTTCCAATACTGTAAAATAAGAGTGAATAAAATATGCATGAGTGATAATACGGAAAAAGCTTATTCAATTTTATTTACCCAAGTCTGTACACTGCCAAAAAGTTTTCCTTGCTTTAAGATCATTTCTAGTCCAAATATTTAAAAACCTTAAATTAAGAAGCATTTTCTAGACAAGCAAAAAATGTTTTCTTGATTTCAAAAATATGAGTCTTTTCTTAAAACAAGCTAAATAATCTGTCAGTGGGGTAGGCAAAATAATCTTATGTCAAAAAGTTTTGTGGGAAAAACTCACTTTATTTTGGCTGATTATTTCTGAAAACATGACCATATTTATTACTTGTCTAGAAAATACTTCTTGATTTAAGAATTTTTATGTATGTGGACAAAAACATAGAAGTTAAGACACGTTTTTTTTTTTTTTTTTTTTTTTTTTGCAGTGTATAACCTTCTTTCCTCAATGAAACAAAATACAATTAATAATAATAATAGTAATAATAGTATCAGTAATGCATTTTATTTATAATGAGCTTTTCCTAAACCTAAAGTGCAAAAGTAGGAACAAGTTTCGTGCTCATTGAGAGAACTTGAAATGTATTTCATGCATGCATTCAAATACTGTAAAATAAGAGTGAATAAAATATGCATGAGTGATAATACAGAAAAAGCTTATTCAAATTTATTTACCCAAGTCTTTACACTGCCAAAAAGTTTTTCTTGCTTTAAGATCATTTCTAGTCCAAATATTTAAAAACCTTAAATTAAGAAGCATTTTCTAGACAAGCAAAAAATATTTTCTTGATTTCAAAAATATGTGAGTGTTTTCTTAAAACAAGCTAAATAATCTGCCAGTGGAGTAGGCAAAATAATCTTATGTCAAAAAGTTTTGAGGGAAAAACTCACTTTATTTTGGCTGATTATTTCTGAAAACATGACCATATTTATTACTTGTCTAGAAAATACTTCCTAATTTAAGAATTTGGTAACACTTTACAATAGCTACACACTGTGAATTCTTTACTAAGCATTGGCATCTTGTCAATTCATTATTTGTTAAGCATTAACTCTACGTTAATAAGCGTTAGTAAGCAGTTTATGACTGCAGCTACAAATGCTGTATTCTTGACTTATAAGCACCTGTATAAAGTGCTTAATAATTGTATTTTCATGTTTAGTTAATGATTTATTTGTCATTACTAAATTAAGTATTGCATTATTTACACAAATCATTTCTATTTAAAAGTAGTTGAAGGTTTTTAGGATAATTCAGAATGAGTTACTAAACGATTAATAAACTATTGAAATCAACGTTTATATGTCTTATTATTCAGGCATATATTAATAGTAAACTAATATCTTAATAAATGCTTTATTAACTCAACTTCATGCAGTTTTTGGACTTAATCTAAAGTGAGGACTAAGGATGCTTTATAAATCCCTTACGAATGACAATTAAAGGCTCAGAATAAAATGAACTATAATCTTTACAATCTTTTCTAAAAAGTAAATTTACTGTAAAGTTTAATCATTGCTGAATAACAGGAGTGCCAAAATATGACATAAAACTGGATAAAACAACAACAACAATATAATAATGTAACAATAAAATAAGATGCAGTGTTTAAACTCTACAGTGATTTTATTTTAGATCAGGTTGCAAAGTTTTATTTGTCATTTGAAGTATAGTTTCATTTGGGTATCTTTAAATGAATAGGAATGAATAATGTCATTCTTCCTGTTTAGAATTGAACTGAGCCTTTATTTGTCATTTATAAGGGATTTATAAAGCATTAATAGTCCTCACTTTAGATTAGGTCACAAAACTAGATGAAGTTGAGTTAATAAAGCATTTATTAACACATATAGTAACCATTAATATATGCCTGAACAATAAGACATATAAACGTTGATTTCAATAGTTCAATAATCATTTATTAACTAATTCTGAATGATCCTACAAACCCTCAACTACTCTGAAATACAAAGGGTTTGTAAATAATGGAATACTTAAATTAGTAATGAAAAATAAATCATTAACTAAATATGAAAATATAATTATTAAACACATTATAAATATGTTTGTAAGTCAAGAATACAGCATTTATAGCTGCAGTTATAAACTGTTTACTAACACTTATTAATGTAGAGTTAATGCTTAACAGATAATGAATTTACTATTTGCTAATGCTTAATGAATGATTTATAGTGTGTAGTTATTATAAAGTGTTCCAAAGAATTTTTGGTAACACTTTATTGGTCCATTTGAGTATTAGTCGACTGTCTGCTTAAATCTGCTGATTCTGCTTCTTTAACAGACATTTAACTGACTATAAGAAACTATGCAAGTACATTACACTAACCCTAACTTAACAGTCTACTTATAATCTAATGAGAATTAGTTGTAACGAACTTAAATTCAACAAACGGACCATCAAAATAAAGTGTGACCGATTTTAGATATTTGGACTAGAAATAAGACAAAAATGTAAGATTTCTATTTTTTTTTTTTACAGTATACAACCTTGTTTCTTCAATAAAACAAACAAACAAAAAATTAATAATAATAATAGTATCAGTAATGCATTTTATTTATAATGTGCTTTTCTTAAACTCAAAAGTAGTGAGAATTGTCACTTAAATTAAAGTGTTACTCATGCAAATTTAGGACCCTATCATATATCCGGCGCAATGTGGCGCAAGGCGCGACACAATTGTCGTTTGCTAGTTTCAGCTTGGCGCGAGAGTCGTTTTGACGTTTTCCGCCACGCTGTTTAAATAGCAAATGCATTTGCGCTCATATGTGGTCTATAAAGGAAAGTGTTCTGAGGCGCACTGCTGGCGCGTTGCTATTTTGAGAAACTACAATAGATTTTTCAATAGACCAGAACAAAGCCGGTCTATTGTCCAGCGCAGAGCAAGTTAGTTGTGCGCCTCGCTTACACACTGCTTAATACATACAAGATGTAGAGCAATACGAAAATATCTTTACATATGAAAAAGAATTAAAATATTAAGGATATATATATAGGATATAATAAGGATATATATAGGATATGAATATAAAGGATTAAAATATTACAAAACATATTAGTTTCTAGCCTACATAAATTTAAAAAACACTGCCTTCATGTCTTCTTCATCTCGGGAGGCTTTTTCAGTTCATTCATAACAATTTGCTTTTGTATAATGTTATTATTATTAGCAGTATTATTTATTATATCCATATTTATATTTGTTTTATTAAAAACAAGCTTAGATTTGCCCACCTGTCAGGTTTTAGACCATATGGGGCACAGCATGTGTTTTAGGATATAACTCAGGTTTTTGAACACACTTGGTTATTGTTGTTCATTTATTGGTTTGCTGGAAATTAGAACTGAATTTAGAAATAGTTTTGAAACGAATATTTGCGCTTAACAAACGCAAAAAAAAAAAAATATTTATAGGCTAATTGATATCTGTGCGTACAAGGTTCCCCTATCCATGAGAGCGAAAGTGATAGTAGATCATGAGATGCCTTATCTCTCATTTACGCACTGCAGATGCTCTGTTTAACTGTTTTCTTCAACCCAGGCTCATTGTGTAAATGTAGTCCTGCGGACATTTCTGGAGGCCGCGGAATACGTCCCAGCAGGTACATATGGCTGCAGTTTTTGTTTTTGCGAATCCGCGAGAGGCCGATGTTGTGCGCTTTTTTGCATCTCATACGCCTCTCGCGAGTGCAGTTCGCGGCCGCGCTGTTCTCACCAGATGCCGCTGTCCGACTGACCGGATGATTGACTGCGCGACCGGCCAATCGGCTGACCCGCCCTCCTCCTTCCCTGAACCCAACCAATTTTACCGATCGACCCGCCCGCCCGCTCACTTCCCTAAACCCGAGCAACAGTTTCCAAAAACCGTCCAAAAAAAGAAAAGCCCTGTTTTTTTTTTCCTACCGCGTTTTCGGATTTCACCGCGTTCTCACCCTGTCACGAAACTCGTTCACTTAATTTTTGGGATTCTGTTTTTGTCTTACCTGATTGCTGGAACCGCTCTTCTCGGACTCGAAACCGATCGCCGTGGTCAACTCCTCTCCGCATCTCGAGCCTGCCGACGTACACGGTGAGCTGAGTGGACAAACGAGTTGCAGCGGGAAAGCCCTCCA